CAGGCCTTCCTGCGCTTCTGTCCTCTCTTGGTGGTGGGGTCAAAAAGGTCCCCTGCGGTGAGAGTGATGGTGATGATGTCAGCCCTGTGATGGGATCAGCACTGTGTTTGGCACAGCCAGCTCCAGAGAGCGTCTTGTTTCCTCAGAAGCCTGGACCAGCAGGATGCTAGCATCTCTTTGTGAGTTGGAGGAGTTGGGGGTTGTGATTGAGGGGCTGTGTCTGGGTTGCTGGAGGGGGTCCCCTGACCCCTCCCATGGGCTCTCCACCTTTTCTTCTACTCCCGAAAAGCCATGGGCTGTCCCAGAGACACCGCAGAGACCATCTTCTCCCCTGGCTTCTGAGCTGGGAAGAGGGGCTTGAAGCTGCCCCTGAAACATGCCCTCTATGTCCTCCCAGTCTTGTGGATAAATCGTTCTCCAAGATCTTTGCCTAAAGGGTGCATTGCTATCACCAGGAGAGAGAGATGCAAGAGAGGAAAGAAATTAAAACACAAGCTGTTCTCTTCCAAACCCAAACCCACTGCAATTGAAGCAATTCGGACCCAGGGGAGCCACCCCAGGTAGGGTTTCCAATCATTATGGGCCCAGACAGCTTCTCTTTCTCTAGTGGGGTGACTGGTGGGTTTGAACTGCCCACCTTGTGTCTAGTAGCCCAGTGCCTAACCCACAGCACTACCAGGGATCCTAGGGGATTTACAACACCTCCCTGAGCCCTGAGCTGGAGAGGGACCAACAGAGATGACTTCTGCACTCCTGCCTGCTATATGCTAGGCAATTAGAGGCACTTCATACACAGAGCTCTTTCTTACAATGTGCCAAAGAGGCTGTGAAGTGGGCATTGTTGTCTTTAGTTGACCTAATGGACGACAGGGACCCGGAGAGGCCCAGATCCTTGCCCAAGATGTCACAGCATGTTCATGTCTGAGCCTGCGCCAAGTTGAGGCTGTGGGCCCCAACACTGGGGTTCAGTAGCTTATATTGCTCCCCATAACCAGGCCACGAGGTGTATAATGTCCCATCCCAGAAATCATCCTCACATAACCTTGATTAAGTTAATAGCTGATTTGGCTTTGATCTGATGTATTTTGATCTTATTATTTTTATGTTAGGAGCTTCCAAATAACCATCATTTCACCAGTGCCCCAATTAGCAGGCCATTCATAGCGGATTGGAAATTGATTCGCACAGGGCCTCTCCATTAGTGCCTGGGAAAGGCTTCCAGCCTTAATTACCCTTCCTGCTCTGGGAGGCGGGCAGCTCCAGGGGCTTGATGCGCTGCAGGTGGGCAGCATGAGGGGGGGGATCGTGGCCCCGTGTTCACTGCTGGGCAGGGCTGCTGGCAACCATGGGCTGTCATTTTTCACGTGTTTTAGTGGGTGTGACTCTGATGGAGACATTGAGAGGCTGGGGTGGTGGGTGTCCAAGGAGAGGGCAGGACTCTGGTGTTTGCATAGCACAGCCTTTGCTCAGGCCTGCGCTGCTCTGGTGCCGTGGCAGAAATTCCTTCCCCCAGTGAATAGGAGACACAGGCTCAGAAACAAGACATGTTCATAGCACCCAGCTCCCGACTAGAGCAGCCCGGACTAGCACGTCCATTGTATTTTCTGCCTGGTTCTAATGTACTTTCTGCTATACCTTGATGAGCCCAGACCCAGGGCTATGGTAGGGTGAGCAAATGATGATTCATCCATCCATCCATCCATCCATCCATCCATCCATCCATCCATCCATCCATTGTCACACCCCCCACCCCCATGTGTCCATCTCTCTCTCTCTCTCCCGACCTGCCAGTTCCCTCAGACTGGTACCTGAGGCCACCACAGTTGGCTCTACCGCCTAAACTCTTGCCCAACCACTCAGTCATCTCTTCCTCCATCATGTTTCTTCTGTCTGCCCTCGGCCTTGGTTCACACGGCCCCTCTGCTCACATTGCTCTCCCCCATCCTGCCTAGCTGAATCCTTCCCTGCCTTTGCAGCTTTGGGTCAGGCCCAGAGAGCGCCCACTTCCTTTGTTGATGGGCCCTGGTCTGCATGAGCAAGTGGTGGGCCTGTCTCCACAGATTCTAATCTCCGCAAAAAAGTGACCGGTGGTCATTGGGGTTCTGGCCCTATGCTCAGCATCGGGGTCAGCGGGTGCATGCTGAAAGAAAGGGATGCGCTGCCACGAGCACTTGCTGAGGTGAGGCTTCTTGGATGACGTACTCCCCCAGCTCAGAGCCGTTCCGGACCTCACTGCCCTGCTTCTGCGAATGGAGACAGGCCTTCCATGAGAAGCCGAGGCTGATACACTGGTGGGCTGGGTGACAGGGGCCATGGTGATGGTTGTGGCTGCAGGGAAGGCGCCCCCTTGAGGATCTTGGGACTCCATTCCCTCTGTAGGCCCAGGATAGGAGTTCCAGGATAGCTGTACACCCAGTGATACACGGCAGTGTATTCTGTACGATTTCTTCAAAAAGTTAGAAATGGAATGTATAGGCACTCAAGGAAGAAGTACTTGCCCCTCACTGGCTGCAGGGCCTCCGGGTCTAGTGACTGAAACGGCACCAGCGATATCCATTCAGAGGGATGTGAGGAGAAAGTGGATTAACATGTTTTACGGACTCAATAACAGTACTGGGCACAGAGAAGAATTTCAAAAAATCATTACTCCTCCTATATCGCTTTCATACTTAGCTATTAATGGAGGATTTTCTTTTCTCGTTTCCTAAAGGGATTATATGCTCCCTATAAGAAATTTTGGAACAAAGCTCATACAGAAAACCACTTCCTGCTACGTATTGTGAGTGTGTGTGTGTGTGTGTGTGTGTTTTATGTGAGGGTTGTAAAATTTTTAAAAAGTTATTATTACTTGTGAGTTAATACATATATCATTCCATAGTTCAATATCACATCAAGTAGTATTGTATTATTGTTACCACAATCAGTTTCCAAACATTCTTTTTCTTCCTGGACTCATTGACAGTGTCTCCCTTTTACCCCTCCTCCCTTGCCCCCACTCCCCCCACCCCTGAAGCCCTTATTCCACATGCTGTCTCTATAAGTCCATCAATCCCGGGCTTCATTTCTGCTACTTATTAAAACGTGGTCCCTTTTAACATCGTGCTGTTTTCCTCCCAGCCTTGATTTCATGCATATTTTGATTTAATTGAAGGCATAAACCACACACAGTTCTGTGTTATTGTCCCATCACTTTTTAGCCTGCGTACTTTCCGTGTTATTGGAGCGCTCCATACACTGTTGTTGGGCTGAGAACGCTTTCAGCCACTCGCTCGTCATGCCCTCTTGTCGCTCTCTCGGGTGGCTGGGGCTCTTTCAAGAATATCTCTGAGGACCCTCTGTGCTTCCAGATCTCCAGCTATGCCCGTGTGGTGGGTTGCCCTGCAACGTGGAGTTGCTGAGGGGTGGGCCCGGACATGGCTTTGCTCCCTGCCATGGAAAGAGGATGAGCATGGCCCTCGTGGTGCTTGTCTCTGTAGAGCTGGAAGCCTAGCTGGAGATCCAGACGGTGATCCCAGAAGCGTGGCAGGTCTGAGTCTTGAAGCAGGCGCCTCTGCGCACCTTCCAGAGGCAATAGAACGCGTGTGCCCAAGGGCTTGCCTGTAGCTGTGAACTTGTAGCGTGGGGAGGAGCATGGAGCGGCAGGCCTTGGGGAGCCCACCAGACTGACTCAAGTCCTGTGACTTTCTCCCTGAGGTGTTTTGGAATCAGGAAGGACTCTCAGCAGGGTGTGCTGCAATCAGACTTTCGTTTAGGAGTGTATGGGGCAATGTGCAGCTTGGATGGGCATGGAGAACATTGTTCTAGCTGTGGGTTAGCTCCCAAAGGGGACTTCCTTCACAGCTTCCTATTCCTCTCCCACCCCCACCGCTTGTCTGGAGAAGGGGGTTCTGCAGGGAAAGTTGCTGAAAGGTGTTTGAGCTCCCTGCCCAGATGTTGCTCAGCAGCGGGCCAGGGAGAGGAGCATCCTCTCATGGGAACAGCTGGCCTTGATGAATTCAGATGCCCCCCACCCCCACCCCTTCTCTCCCTGCGCCTTTGATTCCTGCCACCTTGTTCCTTGGGGTTGGTCTTTGTCTTCATGGTTTCTTCCCCAGCCTCCTAGGAGTCCTTACAGAAAAGCCCAAGGGTTTGCCACGGTTGCTCGAAATTTCTCAGAAGTAGGCTGTCAGTAGCAGATGGCCCACCGACATTCACAGGCTGTGTTTTGAAACTGCATCTGCTTTCTTACATTCCTGCCATCGCACACGCATTATTAATAAATGCTTGCTTCAGGACTGGTGCAGCGGGTCACGATGTTGGGAGATAAGGCTTTCAATTAATTGAGTCTATCTCCCCCCACCCCCCCTCCCAAAGGCCCAAGTGCGTACCCAAAAGGGCTGCCTGGTGGCTACTGGATGATTTCAAAAGATGAGCCTCTGAGCGTGCCAGCCCTGGAAAGAGCGGTTGGTGCCTTTGCTGCACCCTTCTTGGTGCCCACGGTGACTGCCCAGCAGTGGGAGCAATTCCCTTTATTATTGTCAAGTGGTTTTTGAATCAACCCTGGCTTCTGGCACCATCTGAGACATCTGGAGCCTGACCCCAGGTTTTTATGATGTGAACCCCATCCACTCGGCCAGAAAACCTTGGGTCTGGTCTTTTTCTTTCTGCCGGCAAGCTGGGTCCTTGGGTACGTGGCTCCTTGGCTCTCATATGTAATTCATCCCAATCCAGTTCCATTCAGCCAACCAGGGCTGAACAGTTTGATAAAGTGAGCGATCTATTCTCCAGGGACTCTCCGCCCTGGGTGGGAGGCAGGACGGAGTATCATCCTTATTCTAGCACGATTGGGCCCCCCGTGTGCCTCTGTTTCCTCTTCTGTCAAATGGGTCCAACCAGCTGGAAGGGCGATTTGCAAGGGAGCATGTGTGCGGGCAGCGGGCCTCGCCTGAGCAGGCCCAAGCCCGTGCAGCGTCGTCACTCTGGGGCTGACCCTTCCCTTTCTCTCCTCTCTCTCTCTGCAGCCTGTGACCTTATGACCCAGGGGATTTTGGCCTTGGTCACGTCCACTGGCTGTGCGTCCGCCAACGCCCTGCAGTCGCTCACGGATGCCATGCACATCCCGCACCTTTTTGTTCAGCGCAACCCCGGGGGCTCCCCGCGTACTGCCTGCCACTTGAACCCCAGCCCCGACGGCGAGGCCTACACGCTGGCCTCCAGGCCGCCAGTCCGCCTCAATGACGTCATGCTCAAGCTGGTGACCGAGCTGCGCTGGCAGAAGTTCATCATGTTCTATGACAGTGAATATGGTAAGTGGGGGTGGGGCGGGGGGCAGCTGGTGGGGGCCAAGTGGGTGGGGCTGGGCAGGCGTGCCGGGTGGTCTGAGACCAGTGAGCCTCAGGGTGGTACCAGCCCAACCTCCTGCTTCAGGAAGGGAAAGAGGCACAAGAGCAGATCGGCAGATAGGCATGGAGGTTGCCTAGCAACAGCATCTGATCATGACAGTGATACACTGGTGGGCTGGGTGACAGGGGCCATG